TGATGATGAGATCGCTCATGCTGATGAGCAGGATGATAGTGATGATGATGCTGGTGCGAGTGATGCTCATGACAATGGTAGCGATGATTCTGATGATGATGATGATGTTGGTGATGATGATGCTGATGATGCCGCTGCTGTTCATGATGATTATGGTGATGAGTATGATGATGATGCTGCTGATGATGCTGCTGATGATGATGCTGCTGATGAGGTTGCTGGTGGTGGTGATGATGTTGATGGTGACGATGGTGATGGTGGTGGTGATTGTGACGGTGGTGGTGATGAGATTGATGCCGTTGACGACGGCGATGACGATATTGATGCCACTGATGACGATGCTGCTGATTATGACGATGGCGATGACGATGACGATTACGCTGACGATGATGATGATGATGATGATGATGATGATGATGATGATGATTACACTGATGCTGAAGGTGATGATGACGATGATGATACGGGTGATGATGATGCATCTGATGATGCTGAGGATGATGATGCTGATTGCGACCATGATGATGATGATGATGCTGTTGATGCTGATGCTGCTGATGCTGATGCTAAGTTTGCGGATGATGATGACGATGACGCTGCTGCTGATGATGACGGCACGTTGCGACGCTGATGCTGATGATGCTGATGATGGTGATGATGGTGATGGCGACGATGCTGCTGATGATGCTGATGATGTTGCTGGTGATGCTTGTGCTGCTGATGGTGTTGACGCTGATGAGGAGGACGAGGTTGATGTTGAGGACGCGGTTGAACATTGCTGTGGTGTTGATGAGGATGGGCACGAGTACGAGTCCAATGACGACGATGCTGATGCTGATATTGATGATGCTGTTGATGATGATGATGCTGATGATGCTGATGCTGATTATAACGATGATACTTGCTATGCTGATGGTATGGTGAAGCTGGCGATTATGGTTAGCATGATGCTGATGTTGATGATACGGATGCTGATGCGGATGATGATGTTGATGCTGATGATGCTGATGCTGATGATGATGCTGACGCTGATGCTGATAGTGTTGGTGATGATGATGTTCAGAAGGGGGGAGGGGGGAGGTCGATGGGGGAGGGGAGAGGGTGGATGCAGGAGGAGGACTGGGGGGGGGGAGGCGGCGGAGGAGGAGTAGGATCATGACGACGAGAAGGGGAGAGAGGGGGCGGGCAAGCTAGGTGCGCTCGTGCCATATCTGACATCCGATCCCTCCCTCCCATACCCTCCCATTGCGCTCATTGATCTTCTATCCGCGGATGCGTGCCATAGCCGACCTGGTCTCACAACCAGACCCCATCGTGTCATGCTTGAGCGTAACATGGGAGTTGCGTGCATAGGGGGATAAGGAGAAGGGGGAAGAGGAGGCATACGAGGAGGAGGAGGAGGAGTATAAGGAGGCGGAGGAGGAGGAGGAGGTGGCAGGTGAGCAGGAGGATGAGCAGGAGGAAACGGAGGACGATGAGGAATGACGAGGACGAAGTCACACAGCAGCAGCAGGAACTGGAGACGAACTAGTGAGACGAGCAGGAGGACCAGGGGAAGGCGCAGGAGTAGAACGGAGGTCGGCGACAACGATGGAAACGGACTCGGATCTAGAAACGTGGTCCGCGTTGGGGTGAGATTGCCGTTCTGAACGATTGCAGCACAGCGCCGATCCGAAACAGAGGCCGCAACTGCATCGGGAGCATCATCTTGAACCACACTCGGATTGTGAACATGCGCATCGGAACACATCAAGTTTGGGCCCCTGCATGATACAGAAGCAGTATGCGGAGAGGGCGGAACATCTCCGCACAGAGTCGGGGGAGGAGTGCAGTATTCATATTGCGTTACCGTAAAGGAGAATGGGGGAGGAGGTGTGGCATGGGGAGGGGGATGCGGAGGAGGATGAGGAGAAGGGCGTTGGAGGGGAAGGACGCGGAGGAATGGGGGAGGGAGGAGGGGGAGGATGAAGAGGAGGAGGAGGAGGAGGAGGAGGAGGAGGAAACCATGAAGGATCCTTTCGGGTTTCGGTCGACGGACCTGTTCAAGGCTCGGACCGATGTTCTGCAGGAGACCTGGAGGGTATTCAAGGAGAACGCTGGCAAGCAAGTGCGCCTCCTAGACGAGGAACCTCTGGCGGAGCGCGCGGAGGTTCCTACGGAGACGAGATGTCCCTCGGGCACCCATAGGGCATCATGGCTGACAAGCTGTACAAGTCGGAGGTCCTCGACGACTTCGGCCCCAAGAGTGCTGAATCACATGGGCAACAGTTCCTGGAGGTGAACCTCAAGAACTCAGGCAACTGCATAATCTTCTGCGACGTTATCGCGTGCCTGGCGTCCAAGGGCAACTGGTCTGCATCCTTCGCCACGGTGGACGGGTGGATACAGGGCAACTGGGACGCTACGGCACTTCGAAGGTTCTGTATGTGGCCATGCGCGGTACCTTCGCCGTCACCGACAGCGGGCGGCTTCATGGCCATGGGGGGCGCCGTAATGCTAGACGAGACGGGCCCGGATGAGGCCCACACACGGCTCCGCTCTGGCGTGCACCCCGCCGCCCCTCCCGGTCGGCGGGCGGCAGGCCCGCTGGCGGTGCCAGGCTGGCGCGCCACTCCTCGCGCGAGACTGCGCGGGCCCTCTTGGTCTGCTCCTCTGCTGGCGGGCCGTCGGGCGATCCTGCCCGCTTTGCTCCTCTGGTGGCCTCCAGGCTCTCCGCTGCTGCTCGGTGTGCGGCGGCTCGAGCAGCCTGAGCCAGTCGGCGGCCCCGCTCCGCCAGTTGCTCCTCCGTGCGCCTGGTGGCGTTGGCGCCGTCACTGGTCGAGCGAGCCCCCTGCGCTGTCTCCTCTGGTCTGCGTTGGTACCCAGCCTCCTCCTCATGGCTGGTTCCCCCCTCGGCGAACCTAGTAGCACCTTCGCTGCAGGTCTGGTGCCTGGCTGCTCTCGCTCTGGAGGGACCGCAGCAGCCTACCCTCCTTGATCAGCTTCGTGGGGTCTGCTGCTGCCCGTCATCGACCTCTCCGTCGGCTTGTCGTGGCTGGGCGGTGGGGTTCGGGACGCAGGGAGTGGCCGTCCTCCCCCTCCCTTGCCTGGCCGCCGTGGGGATCGTTCACGCATGTTCCCCTCGCGGTTGTGCATGTTGTGGCCTCGTCCATTCCCTTCCGACTCCAGCGGGTAGGTGCCTCGCCTGATACCTCGCGGTTTGGAGGCTGTTCGGGGCATTGGCGTGGATGGCATGCCAGGCCAGTCGTCGGTGGCCTGGGTGTCGCTTACGGCCTGGGCGGCTGCCGCGATGCCCGCTGCCAGTGCCAGGGCTGCTCCTGGTGTGCCTGCTGTGCTGGCGTCGTCGTCCTGTGTAGGGGCAGACTCGCCATCGCCTTTTTGCCTGCGAAAGTGTTCGGCCGCGTCCTCTGAGTCAGGAGCCAGCCTGCGTCGTCCTGCGCTGCTGACGTCGGAGGTCCAGAAGTTGCCAGTCGGAGTGGATGAGGATGGCTCCGTTTATGAGGTGGTGTTGCCCAGAGCCGACAGTGGTCCGTCTTCTTCATCAGGTTCCTCCTCAGCATGTGGTGAGTCGACTGGCTCAGCGTCCTCGTCCTCCTCGGCTGCTGGTTCACCTGGCTTGGCTCGTTCAGGTTGTGGCTGCTGGAGTTGTCGGAATAGAAGGAGTCCTCTCTGTCGGGTACCGGCTCATCCGATTCCTCGCCTCGGTGTGGGTGCTGCTGTGGTCCTTCATGGTCTCCTCCTGGCTACGGTAGCCCTCTGGGTGGTGACCTTGATCTGGCTGGTCCTGCAGAGTCGCCCCCCTCGTCTGGTTCACATGCATGGGGCTGCCGTCGTCCACTTCAGGTTGTTGTCCTGCGCCGCTGGCTTGTCCTTGCTCATGCCTTCTCGGGGACCTGGATCGCGTCGGTTGTCTGCACCCTGGGAAGGCAGTGCACGGCTGCGGCTTTGGCTCTGGTGATGGCGGCGGCAAGACCTCGGCGAATCTGATGCTCGTGAACTGCATTGCCTTGCTCTCCAGCCGGTGCAATTCTGCCAAGTGTTTCCCCATAGCTTTCACCTTCCATGCCCTGCAACGTCAGCCAGTTGTTCTGCCTGGCCTCGTCCGGCTTGAGCCAGGCGTCTCGGCACCATTCGTCAGCCAGGTGCCAGCGAGCTGCGTCCGCCGTCTGGTGGTCGAAGGTCTGGAAGTAGGCGTCGAAGGCGGGCAGGTGGAGGGCCTTGTAGACCTGGCCGATGCAGACGTCGAGCCACTGCCTTTCGCCTCCGATGACGAACCTCTCGGCCAGCTGCTGGATCCTCCGTCGCATCGGTGCCGCGCGCTCTTCAGCCTTCAGGAAGTACGGGTCTGTGGCCACTTGCTTGACGTTCGTTATCCCTGTCGTCGGCTGGTCGGGCTGCTGGCTGCCCATGCCCATCGCCCCCGCGGGGCTTGCCGCACTGGACGATGCCCCCGCAGGGGTTGCCGAACTCGCCAGTGCACTTGCTGAGGTCGAAGCTGCCCAAGTCGTCGGAGGTCTCCAGGCCGAACTTAGAGGTGCCCCCGCAGTGGTTGCCGAACTGGACAAAGCCCCCGCGGGGTTTGCTTGATGCTCGCCTCGCCGTGCACGCTTTTCTGCTGGTGCCGCGGGTGCTCCGTCGATGTCAGTTTCTAGCATATCTGGCGACGGTGTCTCCGGCTTGGCCAACGGGTTACACGCACCGCTCCCGCCAGGCTCCGGGAGCTCAGCACCGACGCCCGCTGGCGGGACGGAGAGCCCCCTGTCCAGACTATTTCGTTTCCCTCGTTTCTGGAGTCCGCGGTGCACCCACTTCTTCTTGACGGGTTGCCTCCTCCTCGCAGTCGTTTTAGCCGCTCCTCGGGCCTGGCGCCTTCTCTGTGGCTCCAGCTGGGCGGGGGTGCCGTCAGGCCACTGTGGCTTGCCAGGTTTGGGAGGGCGTCCTCTGCGTAGTCGGTCGAGCTGATGCTTTGCTGCGGGGGTCTTCCATCCTCGGCAGGGTTCCTTGAGTCTCAATACTCGTCTGCATCCGTTGGTCTTGAGCGACCCCTTAGCTCCGCAAGTCCAGCACCAGCATTGCCCATGGAGGTAACCAAGGTTGTGACTGGTGTGAATGGCCGCGTTGGGCAGTAGCTTGGCGTACTCGCTCTTGATGACCGCCGTGGCGTGGTCGTGCAGGTTGGCTATCATAGGCATGGAGCTGCAAGCGTTGTTCTGCATCCAGTCCGTAACTGAGTACTTCCCTGGTCCTTTGCCACATTCAAGACGTACCCACTTGCCGTCCGCCTGCTTGTGCAAGCAATGTCCCGTGGTAGCCTCCATCTGCTTGCGGTGCTCGAAGGATTTGCCGTGCGCTCCTGCTCGTCGGTCACGCTCCAGCTTGGGGTGGACCATGCGGGCAATGTGTGAGGTGGCTGCTCCAATACGCCTGTGCACCCGTCTTAGCAGCCGTTCCCGCTGGTTGGGTGCCTCCACCTGCGGTGCTGTGAGGTTGGCTGCGGTCTCTGCTCCACGTTGGGCGTACCCATCTGCCATCTCGTTGCCCCTTGTGACGTCCATGGGCTGCCTTGTCCTCTTGATGGCGGGGATGTCCACGTGCGAGTGGCACTTGGTGACCGTTACGCCCACGATGCACCCCCCCCGCGGTTCCCGATGACTCTGCGCAGCCTGTGCCACCATCGGGCCAGGGGCCCGCTGGGGTTCATGTAGTTGAAGCTGTGCCAGCCGTCCACAACCATCTGCGAGTCCGATATGATATCCATGTGTCCCTTCGTGAACTTTAGTGTCCACATGATTGCCGTAAGCTCAGCAGCTCCAATCGTCTGGTCGCCGTCCAGGATTCCAAACCATCCTGGAGACGTGTCGTGCCGACTGTACCCCTCCGCGCCATCCAACAGCTTCAGAGCCACTCCCCAGCCCGCTCGTCCCGTTCGCTTGCCCGAGGTGGTGATGGAGCCGTCGGTGAAGGCACGAGTGGCGCTGGTGGTGCCACGTTCCCACTGGAAGTGCTCCCCGCTGACTGTCGAGAACTCGTTGTCGAGGCTGTCCCATTGGGGGGGGGTGGGCGGGTCCACTGGGCACATCTGCCTGGGCAAGGGGCCGCGCGCCCAGAAGGCCGCCTCCATGGGGTCGTCGCGTACTGCAAGTGCTCTGGCACCCAGGTCACTGGTGTGCTCTCGACCCAGGGGTGCTCGATCTCCTTGGTGCCTGGGCGCTCGTAGAAGCGGTGGGAGGGCGTGTCGTTGATCCCCAACTCGCAGCGCGTGCACGTGGCTGCCGTCTTGTTCCCTGCCGCATGGCACTTCTGGTTAGTCCAGGTGGCTGCGCAAGCTGCTGCTCCGAGAGCTCCAGCTCCCTGGCGTCGCTCGGGCTTCCGAACGTGCCGGGCGCTGGCCCGGATGCTGCGGACTTTGGCCCCTTCGTGCAGGCCTTGGCCCTCCGGGTGTCTGCTTGCTTGCTTCCAGAAGCTGATTGCTGCTGCCTCCTTGATGGCCTCCTCGACTTCGGTGAGGTTGTCGCTGATCTGCCACTGTGTCCCTGCGTGGTCTGTCCACTTGTCTGGCTCCTGGGCCGTCCATCCCGGGAGCTCGAGCGTCAGCTGGAGGGCTGCCATGGTTCCCGTGGCCGCTTGCCACCGCCCTCTTTTGGTGACCTTGCCGAGGTGCCGCTTGACTGCCAGCCGTCCACCGCGGAGGTGATCATGCAGGTCGGGATTGTTGCGCCACATCTTGACTCACTCTCGCACCTGTCGAAGAACGTTGGCCGTCCACGGCTCCTTGGCCCCGTGCGTGACCTGGAGGACTGTCGCCGTGCATCTGTGGCCAGCAGCGCTGCCTGCCATGTCCGCGGCCTCCGCCCTGGTGCGCTGGATCTCGTGCGGCGTCATGCCCGCGGCCGCCTGCTCGTACTGCCGCTTGGCCCTGATGTTGGTCTGGTAGAGGCTGGCCGCTTTGCGTCGCCAACGGGCCGCTCGCACGAAGAGCGCTCCTCGGCGCTTGCGCTGCCTGGCAAACGGCGTCCGCTTGCGTTGGGTGATCTTGCGCCTGCGCTTGCCGATGGCTGTGTCGCACCCTGGGTCCTTCATGACCGTGGCTTGGGTGAGGGTGAGTCCGTGGTCTGCTGCAACTTGGCCGACTGCTTCTCGGACCGCAGGCGATGTTGACAGGCGGGCTGACATGTTGGAGATTGGCAGCTGGTCCTTCTTGCCAGCATGCCAGGATAGCTTCCGTGCTCGTGGCCAGCTGGTGCCCAACGATGTTGGTGTGCCCTTCCGCTCTAATCTGGATGTCGTCGGCGTACTGCCTGGGCCACGCCTTCGGGGCCCTATGGTGCGCATGCTCCAAGATGTCGTGCAGCATCATGCGCGCCGAGTTGTTGGCGTGGGTGCAACCAGCGACGATGCTGTTGAAGGGCGCAACTGGTGGCCCATAGGCGCCTGAGGCTCGGACAACTCTCGGTGCAACGTACATCAGCGCGCACATGTAGAGCTCGACTGGTGGGTCCTACAGCGCCTCGGCTTTGGTAATCAGCGTGGCGAGGCGGATGTTGTCGTAGAACTTCTCCAAGTCCAGGAACAGGCTGGCCCATCCCTCAGCCGCATGCCCTCGGGCTGCTGCTTCGTCCAGGCATGCTGCCACCAGGAATGCCTGGAGTGCTGAGCTGCCCGCCACCGCAGCATCCCAGAATGCCGCCTTCTCGCTGCACCACGGGCCGACCTCCGTCTTGGTGAGCCTGCCCCAGATGCGCACCAGCATGGGGAATAGTCCAATGGGCCTCTCCTCACCTGCTACCGCACTGCCGTTCTTCCTCAGCAACTGGTGCCAGACGTGGCAGCATTGATGCGGCCAGGCCAACCTCTGCTCGCAGTCATTGACGATGTTGACGAGCTCCTGGCGTGCCGGCGACGCCAAGGCCAGGATCTCGGATGGTCTCCACTGGTCGCTCCCCCGCCCTGTCTTCTTCTTCTTGAACTGCCTGAGCGCCTTGCCCAACTCGTCGCAAGTATACCCCAGATTTCTTAATAAAAGGGAGGGGGTCTGGACCCTCCAAGACAAGCCATTTCAGACCCCCCCCCCGTGGGAGAACCCTCCAAAGCATCGTCCCCAGACCCCCCCAGGCCCTGCAAGATGGCCTGGAAGAGACCCCCCCCTGAAATGAGACCCCCCTCCCTTTCATTACGAAGTCTGGAGTACTCGTTGCGCGTCTGGTGGGCGTAGTGGGCCTCCTCGCGGAGCTGGTCCACGGCCGTCTTCAGATCCGAAGAGTCCGTGTCCCTTTGCCACCTTGCTCCCCAGGCGCTGGCTCGCGGAGGAGGAGGAGGAGGAGGAGGGGGAGGAGGGGGAGGAGGAGGAGGGAGGGGGGGAGGAGGAGGAGGAGGAGGAGGAGGAGGAGGAGGAGGAGGAGAGGAGGAGGAGGAGTGAGGAGGAGGAGGAGGAGGGAGGAGGAAGGAGGGGGAGGAGGAGGCGGAGGCTCGCGAAGGAGCAGGAGGAGGAGGAGGAGAAGGAGGAGGCGGAGGGGGAGGGGGAGGATGAGGGGGGTGGGAGGAGGCGGCCGCGGCCCGCGTCAGGGGGGTCTCGCAGCAGGACCTGCTGGCCTTCTGGGACAGCTTCTTCGCGCCGTCTGCGCCAGAGCGGCAGGACGTCAATTCGTCGTCGTCCTCGCCGTCGCCGTCGTCGTCGCCGTCGCCGTCACCGTTGCCGTCGCCGTAGTCGTTCCTCGTCGTCGTCGTCGCCGTCGTCGTCCGTCGTCGTCGTCGTCGTCGTCGTCGTCGTCGTCGTCGTCGCCGTCGTCGGCCGTCGTCGTCGTCGTCGTCGTCGTCGTCGTCGTCGTCGTCGTCGTCGTCGTCGTCTTCCGTCGTCGTCGTCATCGTAGTCGTTTTCCGTCGTCCGTCATCCGTCGTCCTTCGTCCGTTGCCCGTTGTCCGTTGTCCGTTGTCCGTCTTCGTCCGTCGTCCGTCGTCGCTTCGTCCGTCGTCCGTCGTCCGTCGTCGTCTGTCGTCCGTCGTCGTCCGTCGTCTGTCGTCGGTCGTCGGTTGTCCGTCGTCCGTCGTCTGTCCGTCGTCCGTCGTCTGTCCGTCGTCGTTGTCGTTGTCGTCGTCGTCCGTCGTCGTCGTTGTCGCTGTCCCTCACTTCGCGGGGGGAAGTGGAGGGTGGAGGAAGGAGGGATGGAGGAGAGGGAGGAGAATGAGAGATCAGGAGGAGTTGTGGAGAGGGGAGGAGGTAGAAGAGGAGGAGCAGGAGGAGGAGGACCACCATTCCAGCCATCAGTCCAGCAGTTCATTCTAAGTTCTTACCGATGGGTCCGCGACAACGGATTCATCACGGACTTGCAGTGGCACGCGCGCTTTCTAGCCCCCCTAGCCCTGGCTCTGCTTGCCGCCAACGTTCTTTTGTGGCAGTCGCCGCTTCTCCTGTTCCCTCTCACCCTCCTCCTCCTGCTCCTCCTCCTCCGCCTCCTCCTCGTCTTTTTCATTCCTCGCTCCACAATTACACAATTATGAATACGACTCTCCCTCTCTCCTGGTGACGTCCGAAGGTATTCGCCCCCCCCCCTCCGCGTGTTTTTTTTACACATGATTACACAGGATTACAGGGAGTTTGTTGCTGTGGTTATTGTTGTTGTTGGTGTTGTCGTCGTCGTCGTCGTCGTCGTCGTAGTCGTCGATATTATTATTATTATTATTATTATTATTAGCATTATTATTATTATTATTAGTATTATTATTGTTGTTGTTGTTGTTGCTGTTGTTGTTGTTGTTGGCGTTGTTGTTGTTGTTGGTGTTGTTGGTGTTGCTGTTGTTGCTGATGTTGTTGTTGTTGTTGTTGTTGTTGATGTTGCTGTTGTTCTTGTGGTTGTTGTTGTTGTTGTTGTTGTTGTTGTTGGTGTTGTTGTTGGTATGGTTGTTGTTGTTGGTATGGTTGTTGTTGTTGTTGTTGTTGTTGTTGTTGTTGTTGTTGTTGTTGTTGTTGTGTTCATGTTGCGTCCGCTGACGTGCTGGCCTCATGTTCGGGCTCCCGCTCGTTCTGAATCGTGCTCCCGCTGCAGCGTTGGCCTTATTTCCGCGTTTCCGCTCGTTCCGAATCGTGCTCCCGCTGCAGCGCTGGCCTCATTTCCGTGCTGTCTCTCGTTCCGAATCGTGCTCCTGCTGCAGCGCTGGCGTCAGTATTTCCAGTACCATGCCACAGCATGCAATGCAATGCTATGTGGTGTTCCGCGTGCGATGCCATGCCTTCAGCTGCAATGCTAGGATATGCAGTGCTTGACTACGCAGTGCCACGCCATGCTATGCCATGCTACGCTTTGATCTTCAACGCCATGCTATGCCATGCTCTGTTATTTGCCGCTGTGCGAAACCATTATTTGCGTTGTAATGCTTTGTGATGCAATTCCTCACTACGCAACGCCACGCGATGCTACAACATACTACTCTCTGCCGTGCTCTTCTTCTTCTACGCCCTGCTATGCCGTGCTCTACGATGCATCGCGCATCCTCTCGGGATCATTGCCCTGCTCGACATCCGACTGTGCGAATAGAGAGGAGATCTACGCCATGGTAAGGGATGGGAGGGAGGGGTAGGACGTCAGACATGACGCGAGTGCACCTAGCTTGTCTCCTTCCCCCTCCTCCTGTTCCTCGTCACCGCCCCTGGCACCCCCCTGGACCTCGCCGTGAGCCCCTGGAACAGAAGCCTGGCATAGTACCTCCAGAGGTCGACGGAGCCACCATTGTCGTCGTCGTCGTCGTCGTGGTCGTCGTCCGTCGTCGTGGTCGTCGTCGTCGTCGTCGTTTGTGATCGTCGTCGTCGTTGTCGACTTCGCTGCCCTCGCCGTCGACGTCGCTGCCCTAGGCCGCCTCGGGCCCAGAACTCCGATGTCTCTTTCTTTCTGTAAGCGTTTCGCTAGAGGGTGCGAGTAGAGGTACAACAAAAGGCCACGGAAGAGTCTCACAGGGGGTTGTTGAACCTCAGACCGCCCGGTCCGAGAGCCGTTTCGCCTGAGACTTCCTCAAATTGTATACAACAGTCGTGGTTTTGTGTCAATCTTGGCTGCATGTTTGGTCTGGACGGCTAAGGTCCCTTATAAACATCAATACGGTGCACATGGCCGTCTGTCTCCTAGGAGTTCTTGGGAACACATACCAAGGAATGCACGCTTTCACTAGCAGGCCTTCTCCTGGACCCGCCGTTCCACCTGTGCTGCTGTTAGGGTGCTTTGCTGGAGTAATGTTTTGAGTGTGTGTTTCAGGGCGGGGGTCCCCAGAGCTCTGGACCACTTCCTCCCAGCTGACCAGTTTTTCGTCCTGGATAGTTCTTTGGCGGTCCAGGGGCCCGGCGAGGGCTCCAGGTCCAGATGGCAGTCTCTTTTCTTGTGCTTTAATCACTCAAGAAACTTGAAGCATGAAAATAAAAAAAACAGAAGCGTTGGAGTTCTGTGGGTTGGGGCGAGTGGTCTTCCATGGCGCACCCTCCCCGACAGCGCTTCACGACGGCGGTGTTCGCCCCAAAGTACAGGGACGCGGCGGAGCGCATGGCGACCAGCCGCAAGGCCGCACGGGGACGCGTGGGTCTTCTGGCCGTCGCCGTCGATCCCGTCGTTTCGGTTCTCGCAGGGAAGGAGGCGGAGGAGGAGGCGGAGGAGGAGGCGGAGGAGGAGGAGGAGGAGGAGGAGGAGGAGGGTCGAGGTCGACTGGTCGGACCGGGCATTCCAGCAGCCCGTGCGCCGTCATGA